GGTGCAAGTTGACCTTGAGCACTGAAGGCCCGCCCGCTCGTGTAGGCCCTTTGGGCGCGCTTCAATTTGCCTCACTTAGCGTGTGCGGACTAGGTTTCTTTGCGTTATTATTCTAAGGATACAATATTATATTTTTCATTAGAATTCATGAATACGAACTAGAATAATATTGAAGATTTATTTAAAACATATAATAAAAGCACTTAAAATGTTATATTTTGGTCAGTTATTTTTAATGAGATCACCAAGGTTAGTTAATAATATAATAGTTAGTTAGGCAATACAAATAAAAAATTAGAGAACCCGTGTCTACTAGGTCACGAACTTATGGCGCCTCATTATATTGATGTAATAAATTTGTATTATATATTACTCTACACAAAGTGCTTGCGACTGGCGTGTGTACATAGGAAATAATAAAAATGTTTATTTCGTAAAATTGTGACAGCGACATCTATATGCTCCTTGGCGACACTGACTACAACTAGACTGGCGGTCGCGCGTTTCAGTGTGACAGGCTTCATATAAACTCGTACATTACAAAAATTCCTGCACCCGGATCGCTTCCGCGGCCGCCTTCGTGTGGCCAGAGCATAATTCCGAATTCGCAATGTGACTATCAAGACTCAGTTTGTTTTATTTATTTTTCTTCATGAGAACGCGGAAAAATATTTGAAATCAACGTAATTTTAATAGATTTTATTATTACATTCTTTTCTTTTTTTAACACTTAAAATTCTCTGCATGTCAATAACATTAAGTAGGTATTTAAACATTACTACGTTAAGACGTTTCGATACATCAAAAAAGAAAGAGATGGCATTATAAAGTTCATATTGCGTTATTTCTTTCCTATTTTAACTAAGGAATAGACAATATTGGGAAATCATTCGTTCTTTCAATCACTTTATCAATAATCTTACAGGATGGAAAAAATAAAGCAATAATACATTACCTACTTGGTTAACAGGTTTGTGTACATGGTACAGGGCTTAGAGCTTAGAGGATGGAATTAGAGGATGGAAAAAAATGTTTAAGAGGTACAGTGTCAAGAGCACGTAAGATTTAAATCCAACTCTATGCCGCTTACGATAACAACGATCCAAAGTTCAAAGTGTCAAGCTTGACGTGCACTTGACTGTACGAATTTGAGTAACATTATAATAAGCTTACTTTAAGCTTACATTGAAATAGGATTGTTTTTGGAAAGGTTATGGTAAGTCTCCAGTTCGGCGCGTAAATACAAGACTAAGGCTCAATTTACATTGCGGTGGAGCGGAACCGAACGGAATCGTCAATTTCGCCTCGTTACGTGAGATGGCGCGTTTTCGATATACACTAAAAATTTACGCGGCAAAATCAACTGCACCTCCACGCTTTCACGGCGCGAGTTATGCGAAGTAGGGATGCATATTACGATTCGATTTTTACGAAGATCGATTCAAGTATATACGATCTAGCGATTTTAGTATCGATTAATTTCGTTGCGGTTTTAAAGAAAATTGATTCAACAAATCGTCTAAAATTGATTGTTTTCACAAATGAAATATTGTAGTCCTATCTATATAATACTCCTACTGAACAAGGGTGTGTATCGGAGGCTCTAAACTTTATAGTATTTCATTATATTCAAAAATGTATTCAATGGAAAATCTTGGAAATAACAAAATACAATAATAAAATATAACATGTTTATTAACGAAATTAGTTTTTTTTTTTAATAAAAACGTTAACATTATATTAATTGTAAGGTACATACTACGTTATGACTTTTTATTCGTCTGCCAATATTTCGGAGCTGTTGTTTTACGCTCTATGGTCATAAGCATAACTTCTGTGGCAGTTGATAGCTTCAAGAAGGTATCTTTTGGTGGAAGACTGCGAAACTTAAAATCTATGATTATATTTTTATTATTATGTACAAAAATATAACATCTTATTATATCGCAACATCATCGTGGTAATCCTTTTCATTCTGTAATCTTTTCATTTGTACTTTGCTACTGAATTTGATTGGCAATTGATATCATCATGTACCTAACAATCTCTACAACTTCCATTTCTTCTAACAATTTTAATATGATAATTAATATCAGCTTTCAGTGAAAGCAATAGTGACAAAATAATACAATAATTATAAATTCGTCAAAGCAATAATTACAAATTAATGTATATAAATCTTATAAATTCGTCGTATGTAAAAATACTGCTAACCTATTAAACTATAAACTTACTGTATAAAAATTAATATCTGTTCTATACCGAAACATATTATAATTGAAACATTGGTATACAGTTTTTTTAATTGGAACCGTATAGGGAAATCAGAAACTATAAGATATACAGGGAAACTGTCTTAAGAACAATTAATTTTTTTTTTGTGAAAACGATTTTGGTACCTATTTGACAAAAAAAATTACTGTTGTCCATAAAAAAAATTAAATTGTTTATTTTTTTAGTGCTGGTGAACTCAGTTTAAGGTAAGGGTTCTTTAATTGTATTGGAAGAAAAATTGTGACAGACAGACGTTTGTCAAAAGTTACTGATTATTTTTGAAAAGAACATCACAAAAACATTCGAAACTAAAGAATATAGTCCATACCCTCGAAGCACGAAATCCGTAGTTGCTGTTCATGGATGAACTAAGTAACTACGGATTTCGGATTTCCCCATTATGTATATCGTCAGTGTTTTGTAGAAAGAGCGTAAGCTACATTTCATAATTTTTTTTTCTCACAGGACTACGTTTTAGGTTTTAAACATATTTGCGTCCCGTTTTAAAATAAAACATGCTCCACTGAAAAATCTGCGAAATGTCTCTTACGCCTTTTCTAGAAAACACCGATGATATATAGCGTATATTTAAAAAAATATATTGTTACTCATTTAGTTTTTGCATAAGTTATAAAACTTGTTATTATGTTTTCACATCCACTTTTTTACAAAATTGGCTTAACTTATCTTAAGAATAGCGTTAGCTTAAAGTTCATAGGTATATAACATATATTTCAAGAAATATATTGTTACTTATTTAGTTTTTGCACAAGTTAAAAAACTTGGTATAAAGTTTACATATTTGTTAGTACGACATTGGCTTAATCTTATCCTAAGAATAACGTTAGATAAAAGTTTATAGGTATATAACATATATTTCAAGAAATATATTGTTACTTATTTAGTTTTAGCACGAGTTAAAAAACTTGTTATAAGTTTACATATCTATTATTCCAAAGTAGCTTAATCGCATCTTAAGAACAGCGTTAAAGTTTATAGGTATAGGTATAACATATATTTCAATAAATATATTGTTTCTTATTTAGTTTTTGCACAAGTTATAATACTTGTGATTAAGTTTTCACATCTATTATTACAAAATTGGCTTAATTTTATCTTAAGAATAACGTTAAATTATAGTTTTGTTCCCTGTAGGAGAGGTAGGAATATTTTGTTTTCTTAATTATGCCTTGTTCTTTTCGGATGATGACCTGAAAATTAATAACAATTATAATAATGTGTCAACCACAAAATAATTAGGGAAATCCATGTACCTGAGGAATGAGACTAATTAACGTAACTTCGCGCCTATCAGTAGTCCGAAATGACATTTTCCAGAAATAACGTTTGGTCGAAATTTCATAACCTCGAAAGTAAGTTTGAGAGGAAAATGTTTTTTCTTTTAAGCCTAACTTAACCTAATCTAACCGAACCTAATTGTATCTTTGCGATAAATATTCAACATATTCTGAATGAATATCCGTTTTGTTATAATTCGGTTTTCGGTGTAACGAAAATTCGAACAAACTTTATTTCCGACAAAAAATTGTTCGACTTTGTGATAGGTTAGCCTATTTGCCAAGTTTTGTTGTAATCGGGTACCGGAAAAAGCGCGAAACCAAATTCACCCCTAGTTTGCCACCCTTAAAGATGGAATATTTTCTTCAAATTTAAATGGGGCCAATACTGAGGTACCTTTTTTCCAACAGGAAACGAATCATCAAAAGCGGTTCACAAATCGCGTAGCATACATGCAAAAAATACAGTCGAATTGAGAACCTCCTCTTTTTTGAAGTCGGTTTAAAAAGACAGAAATATTGCCGCGCCTCGTAAAATCATCAACTTTTCAAGAAATTACAAGAATGAAAGTTATCATCTATATCATTATTTATCATGTAAAAAAAATCAGGTCGGTACTCCACAAATTATCCTTATGTCTACTAATTACCAGTTTGAGCCCACTGTGCCCCGTGAGTGGCAAACTATCTTAAAAGTCAACTTTCTTTATGAAGATTTGCAACTTACTTCCCAGCAAGCATTTCCTGGATTTCAGCGAAGCTCTTGCCCTTAGTTTCAGGCACTATGAACAGAACAAAGAAAAAGGCGGCTACGCAGCACACGCCGAAGATCCAGAAAGCTACCGACATTCCCACCGCTTTAGCTACCGGCTGGAAGTACCTGAAAGGGGTAGCATAATAATAGCAAAGGCAATAATAAATTAACGTGATGTTTCAATATGGTGAAAAGAAACATCGAAACTCGTTCTAGTAGTGAAGACAAACGTATAGAACAAATTAATTATGTGGTCACAAAAAGTGATATTTTGGTAAAACCATCGATGGCGAGAAGCGCTATCTACATTCGCAAAAATTTAACTGCCTCCGTGGCCAAACGGTTACCATGCCGGACTGCCACGCAGAGGTCCCAGGTTCGATTCCCGGGCCGGGAGAAATAGTTGTATGGCCTACAATTATTTCTCTCGTGAGTTTGGGTGTAATTTGTGGTTGTCTATGTGTATGTCCATGGCACCCGCGACACAGGGTTTCCCTAGTGCGGGGCTATGTTGAGTGTGTGCGTTATTTATTTATATTTAAAGACTAATCTAGTTCCTCGAGTGTGGTCGTTCTGATATCGGGTAGAACGCTTGCGAGTACGCTTCGGGCGTACTAGATGGGGTTGACACGCCATAAAATTCATTTTAATCTGTTCCTTGTTGTCAACTCCTGAACTTTGTTCTCTGCCTGAACATTGGTCTCAACGAGTTGCGCCACTCGTACTAGAGATAGCGGCCTCGCTTTTCTCACGAAACCACCATCGTCTTTCTCATGTTGTCGGTCCATCAGGCTAGATGGACCAGTAACATCGGCTAGTTGAGAATTTTATTTACATTTTTATAAAGAAAACGATAGAAAAGAAAACTGCTGATATAAAATTTGAAAATGCACTAAACGTAATTAATTCGGTTAAGCAGCGATAAAAATATGAAATAGCTTCCTTGATGACTATAAAAAATATATTGTGAACCTTACCTCGTCACCAAAAACGATAAAACCCAACAGAATGCTGTAGCAATGGGTGAAGCGACAGCTTTCACTTCAATCGGGAACAATTCTCCCATGACAGCCCATGGCAGAGGCCCCAGACCCCAGCAATAGGTCAAGATAAACAGGACGAGCGATAGGATAGGCAAGAAACCCAGGCTATCTGCTGCGGGAGAGCCCGTCTCGTCTAATATGAAGTACATGCCAAGCAGACCCTGAAAAATACAATAAGCAGATATTTTACTCGTTTTTTCGACAACTATTATAACCAAACATTCAGAAAAGTTCAAATGGGCTGCCGCTTCATTCCATTTCCTATGGAGTTAAGTTCAGGTTATAATGGGAAACTAGATGGCGAAGATAAAGTGTGGTACTAACAAGTCCAATAGCAGTGCCGCAAGAAGAGATCAGCAGCAGAATCCTCCTTCCGAGCCTGTCCACGACGAACGGTGTCACTAGGGATGCTCCTAACTGAAATTATTACAAACCAAATCACTTCAGAATTTTTCGAAATATGTTTTGAGAACCTCTCGTTCTCATCCATCAAAAAAATTACCTGCACAGCACCAATAATAATAACAGCAATGTCGGGATCCAAATCGGAGCCGGCAGCGTCAAAGATAATAGTCATGTAGAAAAGCACGGCGTTGATACCACTGAATTGCTGGAAGAATACCAGCGCGCACGATATGTAGAACGCTTTAAAATTGCCGCCTCGGAACACGTCTGCAATCTGGACAATGATGATTGATTTTAGCAGTTTCAAAATACTTAGCGCGTCGAAAAAAGCAGGAGAACTAAGTTTCTTAACTTTGATACTTCTTACTATAAGTTGTGGTGAAATTATAAGCACATGACACTTGTCAACATATGGCGACTGGTCTCAGGGTGACGGGTGCAACGGCAGTGCCCTTCAGATCTTTGTGATTCTGATTGGCACATGTTACTTGGTATTAAAAAAACTACGAGGTAATACGATGTCTTGGTAATTGGTACTGGATTATGGCCACCCTCATCCTCATGCCCATACCTCATTATTTGAGGTGGCCAATGTTTTCCGTAAACTGACCATTATCACCTACTACCTCGTTGTTTTTTTGCTATCTTCACATACAATATACCTATTTTTCCCATAATTCACTCATCTTTTTCTTGGTCTTCCGCTAAACTCTAGCGCGTCTTGGCGGTATTAACACAATATGAACTTAGTGTGTTAGGACATAATGAGGACAACCAACGATGTGACAGAAAAAAGTAGTAATAAACTTGTATGAAAAGAATACTGTTCTGTTTTTTTCCATCCTTTAAGGTTTGTTCTGTTCTTTCCGTGAAGGAAAATGCAAAGGTTTGACATCATACCCAATTCATCTCAGATGTGTGACGCATACAAAACGATTTAAAGTCTCTCCGGGCGTTTTCACTAATAAAAAGTATTTATTGTTCTTTTCCACCTTAACAATATATTTCACAGGGTAATTAAACTAATGAACATCGTACAGTTAAATTGTGAGGTGGAAGACTGGTGCCTAAACTAGGTTGGACCTTATATCCAGATATCCAGCAACACAAAACATCGGATAACTCACGTATTTAAGTCGAATTTTGAAAACTGATTTGACAGTTTCCGTCGAGTTACCGCCGCGGAATCTCATAATTAAGGACCACGAATTGGTTCGAAACATGTCGAGCAAAAAAAAAAATTCGACTTGACGGAAACTGTCAAATCATTTTCCGTCGAGTCACCGCCGCGGAATTTCATGATTAAGGAGTACGAATTAGTTCGAAACATGTCGAGCAAAAGAAAAAATTCGACTTAAATACGTGGGTAACGGATACGTTATTTTCGTTAATATGTCTGAGTCTCACGATGGTTTTTTATTTAAAATACAAAATATATAATAAAATATTCGTATTATGTGGTAGTTAGTAGAGATACGTACCGTAGCTGTCTTTTCCATGGATGCCTGTACGTCCATGGCCATCTTAGTAAGCTCCGCTTCGACGCCAGTTCTCGATTTCCCTCTGATCGTCATCAGGCATTCTGCTGCTGCTTCTCTGTCGCCTGCAGATGACATTCCAGGAGTTAATAGGGAAAATTGAAGGTATGTGACGTAACACAAGATGAAGGTATAACATTGAAGAAGAGCAACTTTTTGAACAGCAAAAAATTTTAATCATATGGAAAAGAATTTTACCGTGTGAAGGAAACCATCGACACAAAACGGAAAAAGTACAATACCACTCAAGATGTGTCAGGTGCCCAATCAGCATTGAGCTAATTAGGTTCGGTTAGGGTGGAATGGGTCAGTAGGTAATGGGACTTATTCGGTGTTTTTTTTAACTGGGACAGTATGGGAAAATCCGAAACCATAGGAGATGTCTTAAACAGTGAATAATATGTCTGAAAATATGTCTTAAAAACCATTAAGTCTTTTTTGTGAAAACTTTTGTGTGTAACATCGATGATATTAAATCCTATAGTAACTTTCTTACCTTTAGTTAAATAGTAGATAGGCGACTCAGGCATGAAGAAGAAGGCGATAACAAACACGGCCACGAATACCACACCGACATAAGCAACAGCGCTGTACGAAATGAATGGACCGATGCCGTAGACAAGCAAGAAACCGACTGTGATGAATGCCTGGAGAAACGAGCCTAGAGCGCCTCGGGAGTCATCCTGTGAAAAAGATATATTTAATTTACCTATTGTTTGACAAATATTCAAACATATAGTTTAAGTTTGAGAAGAATATTTCATTTTTCATTACAGTTGAAGTTTCTGCTAATAGTATAATATACGATTAGCGATTGACGATTAGCGACTGCATCGCTACTGCATCGCGTTTGCATTGCTGCCAAAAGCTGCCGTGTGTAACCACTCTAAGGGTGGTAAATTAGGGGATAAATCCGATTTATTAGATTTCACCCACTTTCTACTATTTCTAAACTTGCAAATAGATGTACAGTACTGGTAGCTGTAAAGGTACTAACTGGGTGATAAATCTTTCATAGATTTCTCATAGATGGCGCTACAACTAAAAAGTCTTTGAAAAATCAAATACAAAGACACAACGCAATCACATAGAAAAATTCGTGAGGTCCGCTGGTTCGTGCCGTGGCTTAGTTGGTCTAGCGTCTGGCACGGAAAGCTAAAAGACGTCGGTCCGAATCCGGCCGGATCGAAGGAATTTTTTCTGAGTGTTCGATCTTTGTATTAATAATTATAACAAACTAGTGGAGTAATGTCACAGCGATCTTATAAGTGACGATAGTATTAGATTTCATTTTGAAAAATTTCGAATTTCGAAAAACAAATACCGAGATATGTCGTAAAATTATACATCCATAAATTTTACTACACTTTACTATTGACAACTATGTACAGCAATTAGCTCCTTCAACGTAGTTATGAATTAACACGAAACTTGATGAGCGGACAAACGTCAAAATGGCCATCATATACCTACACAGTTAATAATGTGAATTAGTTTGAAATCAAATCACTAAATTATATAAAGGTCTACGTTGTTATGTTAATGTGGTTACAGTGTAAAGTTTTATCAGCTTTTTTTAACGTGCAAAGGTTATCTTATTAGGGTGGTCCTAAACAAAGACGGTTTTGACTTTTTTATTTGTCTGCGTCCAGCAAAGCTCGTTCAGTTGAGTTGTTATTCCTAAAGATATTTAAAGATCCCAAAGGAATCTATTGTATAGTTATATTCTAATATAGTACAGAGTGGCAGTAGATAAGGTTATCTAAACTGCGTGAGGGTCTCGTTTTTTAGGTACAATAGACAATGATCTGGATTAGATACGATGGTGGACAATCGTTATTTTATACACATCAACGACCAGCACACATACCACCATTGTGTAGTCTTGGAAATAACATAATGGGATAGCCAATAATGGTGACGCTTTAAAATATAGTAACCACATTGTCGTATAGTTCTAGTAGAATTTTATAATGGTGATTTAAGAATTGCAATATTTATTTTATGAGTATCATAATGTCCAGTTCTTAGGTTTTTACGATTGTTACACATAGGAAATTAAACTATTTTTCCGAATTCAAATAGCGTGTATTTGTTTTTTTTTTCAAACAAACCAACGTTTTGCTATCGGCTTGAAACGTTGGTTTGTTTGAAATAACAAACACCTATACGCGAATTAAATCCGGAAAAATAGTATTATAATGTTTTTCGTCCAGGAAAGTATTGCCATCTTACATATTTCTGTCGCCAAGCAGTAATCTGAGTATGAGGCAGTGTTTCGGTTCTGAAGAGTAAGGGTGCTGGTGAAATTACAGGCACATGGGACTTGTCAACATATGTCTCAGGGTGACAGGCGCAGTGGCAATGTCCCTCAGATCTTTGCGATTAAATCGCAGCTCTGAGTGACACTGCAACTGCTACGGACAGGTGTGTCGCTTAACACCAGGCGCACGACTTGTACGTCCTGTCATTTGGTATAAAAAAATGTGTACTAAAGTTAGTTTAGCTTTGCATGAAACTACGTGAGCTAAGTTAAGTTACCTAGTTTCGATGTGACAGCTGCGCTTAATAGACGGGAGCGATATCAAAATAGTTATTTTTGATATAAGTGCGGAAAGTTAGTCATTATTCACGAGTCTCGAGGCTTTCGAGACAAGTGAAAATGACAAATCCGCACGTGTATCAAACGACGTTTTTTAATACATTTGCGAAAAAACTACATTGAAAGTAAAATAAAACAGTATTTAAACAAAACTCATTTTCTGCTAGTAAATTAAAATAGTGAAATACAACCACTGCAACCATTAGTTAAAAGTCTATGGAAATCTAGTTCTAACGGGTCTGTTTTTGTTTATTTTCTGTAATATCGGTCTGTAACCACTTTTCTTATTATGAAGTCCTGGTACTTTTGTTTAAACTTCTTTAGGAACCCGTGCACGGTAGTGAGATACAATTTATCTGTAATACATAGAACAAATAAATATATACATAAAAATCTCGCCTGTCACCCATTCAGGGGTAGGCAGAGACTGTGGACCTCCACTCGATACGTTCATTATATAGTATTTGTAAATAAATATAAGTTTTAATGACGAATGACTTATGTACCTACGTCACAAAGCACATAAACATTAAATAAAATATAAGTAATAAAATATAGGTACAACTTCTTTAGTTCTATGTTTAAGACTTAAAACAACAGTAAATTAAAAAAAAAACTGGAAAAGTAAAAAGCACTAGTGCGAGAAATCCAACATTCCGCACGATTTGTAGTGCGAAAAATACCACGTTTTGAGCAACTGTATTAAAAAAATATAACCGTCACCGCCACATTGGAATGGGTTGAATGAATTCTCTTAGATTAATAATAGTAATAATATCGTACACGCACACGGTCAACATAGCCAGGCGCACTAGGGAAATCCTGTGTCGCGGGTGCCATGGACACATAAACATCCACTAATTACACCCAAACTCACGAGAGAAATAAATGTAAGCCATACAAATATTTCTCCCGGCCCGGGAATCGAACCTGGGACCTCTGCGTGGCAGTCCGTGGTAACCGGCATGGTAACCGTTCGGCCACGGAGGCAGTTAAAAGGCTCTTAGTGAATGAAGCATGTGGCAACAGACGCCTTGTTTTAAAGATTTTTCAAATGTACCAGTTCAGTCCATTTGTCGGGCATAATTGTCATTATCAGAAATCACTCATTAAAAAAGGAAAATGTCACCCACCGTAGCAATTTCAGCACAGTACATAGGCGAAATAGTAAACAGCATGCCGACACTAATACCCCAGAAAATTCTTCCCGCATAAATCATCCCGATGGACTTTGCAGCCGCGATCAGGATCCACCCTATGAAGAGTGGTACTGATGAAGCCATTAAACCCCATTTGCGACCGATCCTCGCCGCCAGGAAACCACCAATGAATGGACCTGAAATTCGTTACATTTTACAGATGAATGGAAGAAGAAGATATATTGAATTGACTCCTAATAGGTAAGCACAGTAGGATAATGATGTCTTAAAGCTTCAATATAACAGTTCTGAATTTATTAATAACTCACGCACACACTCATAACCCCGCACAGGGGAAACCCTGTATCGCGGGTGCCATGGACACATATAGACAACCACAAATTACACCCAAACTCACGAGAGAAATACAGGTACACAACAAATATTTCTCCCTGGCCCGGGAATCGAATTCAGAACTTCTGCGTGGCAGTCCGGTATGGCAGTAATGCTCACATTACAGCTTGGCGGCAGAAATAGGTAAGGTGGCAGTATTTCCCTGGACGAACTCTTTCACAAGGATCTCTATTACTACTTAAAGATCATGATAATAAAAACGTCATGACACTTATAAAATAAATATCGCAGTACTTTACTACGAACTCCTTCACAAGGAGCTCTAGTGCTACTAATTGACGATTCAAATTTGTTTTAACACATTTTGATTATGTCTCTCCGTTTGCCTACCAACTACCCAACGTAACTTGGAAATGATTTATTTTTAAACTATTTAATTATCGTCGCCTTACTTTCTCAAACTCGTATCTTAAAGCACAAAGTTATTGAAATGCAAAAAATGAATTGTATCATAAGATACGAGTTTGAGAACGTAAGGTATCGTTATCTTTCGAGTTCTTAGGTTTTCGCGATTGCCACACGTTGCAAATAAAACTATTTTTTGGATCTAATTCGCGTATATTTGTATGTTTAAACAAACCAACGTTTCGGGCCCTTTAAATACTGGTCCAATGTCAGTCAGCTGTGGCCATAGTCACTGTTACATTTCTTAGTAGGTAAATGAATGAGCCGATGCTCATTCATTTCGTGTAGCACTGGTGCATATGTCAGTGTAGTATACGTGGCCGTGTTTGTTATCGCCTTCTTCTTTATGCCTGAGACGCATTATCTACTATATAACTAAGGGCGCGTTCCTATTATGTCGTTCTAACGTTTTATTTGTCGTTAGACGACTGTCGCGTCTTGCCTGTTCCCATATCACCACTATCTGCCGTGACTGTGTCGTGGACGTTTATCATTGCTCCGTCATGTTTAGATCGTGACGATAATTTATCATCATATATCATATAATAGATAAATGTTTGCACGGCAAAATCGTTAGAAGCTGCGATTATCTGTTGTCACATTTTAACGTAACGTTTTATTTATCGTCTGACGATTGTCGTTCTAGCTCTTCCCATTGTCACGACAGTCTATCGTCGTAACTTCAAAAAAGTCGTGAACGACAGTTTATAGTGTTGTACTATATGTGAACAACTTCATTTAAATATACATGCCACGACACTTTGAACTGCACGACTATCTGTCGCCACGACATAAAGGGAAAGCGCTCTAAAGGTAAGAGAGACGACATCATCGACTTTATAAGTTCCATTGCCGACCAATAGTCCACCCAGACCTAACCCACCAAACTAGCTAAATGCGGTTTGAGTACTTCACACATCTTTGACTGACATTGTAACAATTGCGAAAACCTAATAACTCGAGTGTTTAGTCTTTATTTCGAAGATAAGAACTTGATTAAACTCTAGCTACTGCTCATTCGTAAGGCAGATTCTCCTGAGAAGAATATTTTTGCCAATAAGATCCATTTGAGTATGAAAAGACAATATGAGTCTAGATTCCACATAAATATGATTCAAAATGTATTCCATAACATTTAAGTTTATTTGAAAAGAGCAATCCCTAGAGTTTCATGTCCGTGTTTCTCAGGGAAGTCAGCATAGTGAACGAGCAGTAGGTTAAAAAAAGTGATAAAAAAAAGTGTAAAAATTTAACCTAAGAAATATATGTATATTTGATTATGCAACTTAGATAAACAAACTTAAAATTAATTTCGTGTGCGTAGGTGTATTAAAGCATGTCGGCCAGTGATTTTAGACTTACCAAATATAGCTCCCACGGTAAGCAAAGAACCCATCCATGATGATTCATCAGCTGTGATGATGTCGGGCAACGGCGATGTCTCGGTAGAGTTGAGCTTGGTGCTGATGGGGGAAGTCCAGCCCATCGAATAACCCGTCGAGGCAATCGCGATGTTCGCTGAAAGGATAGTGCTGGTTATTAACTTTTCTCCTTGTCACGGACAGCTGGACACGTTTCTAAGGAAAAGAAGACCATAGTTTTATCTAGCTACCCTTAGCGAAATGAGAATACAGAAGACTCGATCCACAAGATTTATTGTAACAAATGTTAAAAGAGGAAAAGGAAAGCCCAAAGGGACCTATAGCCTAGCCCGTAGGTTCCCAAACTTTTTGCTCATCGGCCTTAGGTAAGATAAAAAAAATTTAACGCCCACTACCACAAAAAATAATTGAAAATATGTATTTTTACATTAACACAAAAAAATCAGAAGGGAAAAAATATATATTAGTAGTATAGATAATTGCTTCCGAGGCCCTTGCAACTCCCCCAGGGCTCATCAGCGCCCATTGGGGGCGGTATGGACCACTTTGTGAAACTATGGCCTAACGTATAGGGCGCTATATACATATAACCAAATTTTAATGTAATCGACGTCAAGTTTTACAATAGGAAAATAAAGATGAACTGTATTATAGCGTGTTAACCACGTCTAGTGCGCTCGATATAACGACCACCACCCATACCCGAGTGACATAATTGATTAGTCTTTCTGAAAGTAGATGGCGCTTCTCGCAATCGACCCTAAGGGTCTACTCTCGTCAATCGTCAGATATCCATCCGAAACAATTACTGTGAATAAGTAATACTCGACAATTAAAAGACAATGTAAGTATGAAGCTTCAATCGCATCATGCGTCTTTTAATTGGTTCAATATTACTTACTCGACAGTAAAAAAAAAGTGTTTCCGTCTGATGTCGGACGAAGAACGAGAGTACATGGGCTGTTATGCCACAATATGATCTTTTGCATGACTAATTGTGGTAATAATTTAACAACTTCTGGTGATTACTAACCCTGACCCCTGCGCGTGCCAATGAATATTCGAGAACGTTGGTCCGAGATAGTTTTTATGTGCGCGCGTCTCATATGTTGTATTAGTTTCTGTTTTGAGTATTTACTTAAGTTGTTGTTTTTGTGAATGTCTATATGCTCCATTTTAACCGATAAATAACCATAGTTCTCTACCGACTGGCTTATTTTATCCTGGTCATACTTCCCTATTACCTGTACAGCGAGCGTCTAAAATTTCCCAATCTATGAATAGACGAAATATCTAAATTCACATTTATCGCTAAGTATTATTATGTAAATAAAATTGTTTCTTTTTGTACCTAAGAATCTATAAACAAATCTTTGTTTTAATTTAACATTTTCAGTTTACGAAGTTTATGGCACGGAAGCTTATATTCATGTGATAATTAGAACACGAAATAAAACATTGAATGTACAGGCTTTATGTCCAATAAAATAATGCAAATGCCGCAATTCATAAGTTGGTAGTTGCTTCGTTTTTTTATTACGGTGTAGTATTTATTAGAGGCGTAAGTAGACTCATTATATTCAACACTTATTCCGACAATATACGAAATACCACATACAGCAGTAAGTAATCGATACTCACTGAAATCGTAATGGAACATTTGTATGAAAAAATTGTTATTATAATTGTTCATGATTTTTTTTCCGTATCGGGTAAATTTCCCGAATAGTTAACAAGCTGGTTTGGCACGCAGAGGTCCCGGATTCGATTCTCGGGCCCAGGAAAAATATTTATAAGGCTTACATTTATTACTCTTATGAGTTTTGGTGTCATTTGTAGTTGTGTATATACATAAATAACCACAAATTACACCCAAAATCATTGTTTGTCAGTGTTTGGATTTTATTAAGTGTTTTTAATGCATCGTTTTTCTGTTTAGGCTGACATGATCAAAGTCCCTAAATGAATGGAAACTTTCACACAGGAGAAACTACGAATTTGTAATTCAAATGTTAACATTTATTTACAGAAGGTAAATAGTTAAGTGATAGCAAATTTTAATTAAAATTAGGTTCACGTTAGTGATATAAAAAAGCGCATCTCTCGACTACACGTGAAACTCTACTACATTGCTAAATAAAGGAGATAAAATAATACCTACTATTAAGTTCGGTATTAATCTTATCTAATAAAATAAAATTTACCGAATCAACAAAATTTTTATGATTACTTTTGTTACTGGATAAAAAATTATGCAGATACAGGAATACTAGATCTAAAAAGAGATAGGTGGATTATGTCAATATTATGTCGTTCCCTCCATAATAAAGTGGCTGCGAAGTAATTATAAACGTTATTTTAGGAAAATTGACACCAGTACAGAGAGGGCAACATCTGTAAGAATAAGAAAGCCGTGAACTGCTCCATCCTAGTGGTGAAAACCCATGAAAGTTTACGAAAACTAGTCTGTCATACAGTCACAGTGTTAGAATCTAGAGTTTGCTGCTCGATCATGCCATATTGTATGAGAGTGTACTTAGGGATAGTTTTTAATTTTTTTTGTTTTTCATTTTAAGGAGGATTCAATTCGAATGTCTTTTCTTAATATAATAATAATAATAATAACGCACACACTCAACATAGCCCTGCACTAGGGAAGCCCTGTGTCGCGGGTGCCATGGACACACACATAGACAATCACAAATTACACCCAAACTCACGAGAGAAATAACTGTAGGCCATACAATATTTCTCCCGGCCCGGGAATCGAACCTGGGACCTCTGCTTGGCAGTCATATGTGTATGATACGCGATTATCCGCGTCCATCCATCCTGCTCCATCCATCGAGCGCCCGCATCCATCGTGCCGGCTACCTTTATCAGATCGTCGGTCCACCTGGTGGGGGAGCCTACCCACTGAGTGTCGTCCGGTGCGGTCGCCATTGAAGAACCTTTCCGCCCCAACGTCCATCGATTCTCCTAGCTATGTGGCCCGCCCACTGCCACTTCAGCTGAGTAATTCTTCGAGCTATAGATATCGGTTACCTTAGATCTCCTAAGGATTTTCTCATTTCTGATTCTATCACGTAGGGAAATACCGAGCATCGTTCTCTCCATTGCCCGCTTAGTGACCTTGAGCCTTCTTATGTGGCACGTATATGGGAAATGTATTGTTACATTATGGAAGAGTTGAAGAGTTCAATCGTCTTATAGGAAAAACCATGAAGTCTCTCACACTGTAGTAGTACCCATTTGTCAAGAGAGACTATAATTTGGTTTTGAATATGTTGTCATGTTCATTCTTAAGTGAGTCTGGTATTTTATTATAAATTAATATACATCTATAAAGCAGTCTTTCTCTATCTAAACATTTCTAATCCCGGAGCCGGTGTGTATTTCGATGTGCATTTCTAGTAAATTAAAAAAGATGTAAATGTTGTCTAACAAACATGACAGTTTTTAAAATGTAAATAAACGAAAGAGTTAAAATTTTCTTAGTTATAAAAAGCGGCCTGTATGTTTCTCTTGTGCGTATATTGTTTAAGATGCGCAAGCATTTCTTATTTATTTTATTGATTATTATAAATCATTATGGAATTCTGTATAATTATATGTCTTTAAAAAAAATAATACTTTTGACTATATTGGTATAAAAATAAATGGTTTCAATTGAATTATTATGATTATGGCCTGAGCCACACCTTAGAGGAGGTATAGACTGAAATATGAAAACGGAAAACTCAATATCACCCACGTCTAGTTGACTTAGCCGAGCCCTTGTGTGATTAACAGTTACACGTGTTTGTTAGTTAGCGTTAGTTCAATGACTAAAGTCACATGAGTTCAATAAAAAATATTGATTAAGTTGTATTCTTTCTGGTTTGTGCCTTTATGTTTATGTTTTTAACGCAGACAACAAACATAAATCAGCTTTTAACTAGGTATTACATTCTCAATATTCTGCAAACAGTATGTTGACATAGTATCGCCAAAGAAGTAGGTAAAGATCATGGCTCATTTCTGACCCGGTTAATGGATGTTTGCGTACAAACACATTAGTTTTAAATTATGCAGTTGTAAACCACTTTTATTTTATGTGAAAAGAATATTGAATATCCACGGAGTTAATATGTAACAGAGCAGTATAAGAGCGGTTACACACGGTGACTTTACAGCGATAGAAAAGCGATGCAGTCGCTAATCGTCTACGTTTACACACGCGCGCAACCTTAAGCAGCGACGCAAACGCGATATAAACGCGGTGCTACTAATTTTAGATATATAATAGATAGATAAACACTTTATTCACTAGTATGACACAACAGGAAAAATAAAACAATTTTGTCATAGCAGTGAAATGGCGCTGACTCAGCATATGCCTAAGTTCCCTAAGGAGATGGTTTTTAGTCAGAATCAACGAGAGGTACTAAATCTAGAAGTAATTTGTAATGAAAGATCTAACAAACGACTAGGAGTTCTAGGAAATTGTTCATTAAAATAATAAATGTCACAAACTGCGAATAGTGCATCTAAAGTAACCTATTCAATATGTAAGAGCATGTGTGGATTTGAATATACATATGTATAAGTGTAATTGTAAGTGAAAATAATGATTGTGATTATGTTTTGGTGTAATAAATCTAAAATAAGTAAAAAATGTATATTTAGAAAGGTTACGAAGAAGAGTGCACGGGGATGTGAAAACTAATATTAATATTAAAATTTCAACAAATTAGATAGATTTTTGTAACGAGAGTAGGTGTTGCGTGACTCGTCACGTATAGGTGGCGGAATATTATTCCAGCATTTTGAAGCCAAATATTTGAAAGTACCCCTAAATGCTACAGTTCTATGTTGCGGTACCATGACCGGGCAGATCTCTACCTGTAGCGTACGTTAACATTGGATAACCACGTCAGTTTGTAATACAGGTATTTAGGAGTCCTAGTTTTGACCATATCAAATAACAGCCCAGCATACAGGAGGTTCTGACGAGCTCCAATCTTCAGTATGTTTGCATCATTGAGATAAGGAGTAACGTGAGTACGTGGAGGTATGGAAAAGAAAATCAAGCACACGCGTTTTGGACACGCTGTAGTAGTTTATGTGTCTTAGACAAAAGACGGAGCCATACGA